CTACTTGTGGCTTTTTTTTTTGCAATTAGAGACACGTCACAATAAAAATAAGATTGTTTTGCTAAAAGGGATGAGGCTTTTTTTTCTGAGCGAATTATGGTTTTATTCTATATAGGCAATTTACATACAAAGAGTGCTAAGTAAAGGGTTTCTTTAAGGTCTCAGTATCCTGTCGTGAATAGTCTTTACTCTGCTGCCCAAACACTGCTAAAGAAGCTGCAGAGCTGAAGAGGTTAAGAAAATGAAAAGAGAAGTCACATTCTAGACTACTTAATGCAGATGAGACTGTTCCTTAAACATGTATGTGAGATGACTGACTATTAGTGTTTGAAATGATCTATTTTCATTAGCACAGCTGGATGTTATACTGTGGCCTGCCAAGAAAATCTCGCAGAAATGTGTGCGGTTACTTCCTCTTCCGATTGCCATTTTACAGCCAAAACCAACAAGAATTTAAAGAAAAAAAAAACCTGAGGACCTGATGTGTTGTGAGATGATGAAGAGCTTAAATTGATTTCTAGACATTTCTCTGTCTAGAAAGGAGGATTCTGTCCGTGAGTATAGTAGAGTATTCCGATTTACCTAAAAACTATACTTCCAAGAGAGATCACTGAAAATTCCCCAGTATTGAATATAATTGCTTTTCAAACAATTGTTTGATATTCAAAAGATATGTGCTCAAGTTAAAGGGATTTTTAAAATATACATTTACAAACCAAATGAAAGTAGATACCTTCATGATGAGGAAAAGGCACTTATTGCCTGAGTTCAGGGCGCTGTTTATCATCTGTGGTGCTCCCATGTATATCCTGTGCATGAGTTAAGCCACTCACAGAGTATGATAGCCAGTGTATCCAGTCCTTATCTTGCATGTTCTAGGTGGATATTATTAATGTCTATGGTCAGACTTTAGCCTGACTCAGGAGCACAAAGGAAGATGGATCACCAGAGATGATAACCAATGCCAAGCCAGGTGGGGAGTGGTGGCAATCCTAGTGCTTAAGGGGAAAGTACACTTATAAGCCACCACTTAAACATGTCTACTACATTGTGCTTCTATTGATAGTTACACATCAAGTATGGCATCTAACCTCAGATTGTAATTTAAATGCTGCTATGAAACTACCCACTTCTGCAACGCATAACAGAAAATCTTTACCTGCAATAAAGAGGTAAACAGGTGCTGTGGCTGCACATGCTTCTCCCATGACATACAGTGTTCCAAATACAGGTGAAAACTGCAGCAAAGTCAGTCCATAATCTATGGACCATATTTGATGGATTGCTCTAGTGGCTACGCACATGACTTGCATTATCACAATAGAGGTCATCAATCCTTTAAAGCGGGGGTAGGCAAACTCTGGCCCCCCAGCTGTGGTGTAACTACAAGTCCTAGGAAGCATTGCAAAACTCTGACAGACACAACCATATTTTCCAGAGGCAGGTACATAATGGGATTTGTAGTTTCACTATATCTGGCGGACAAGAGCTTGTTTACCCCTGCTTTAAAGGAAACCTGTCAATAAAATGAGCAGGGTAGCTTTAAAGGAAATCTTTACTGTGAGACATATGTTGGCTGTCATTGCTGATCTCTTCTTCTTGGGTTGCCTGGCTGATCCAATACTTTGTGTCAGGGAGCTGGAGCACAGACATTTTGACTTGGACTCTGACTTTAATAACTGTATGTGAGTTTCTGGAAATGGAAAGTACTGAAGGCAGAGACGGCCACGCAACTAGCATTTTCAGAATGAGGCGAACAATATCAGCCTACAGCTTTCTCTCAACACAGGTCTCCTTTAAGACATAACTAAAGACATTACTAGATGGCCACAGCAAACTCCACCTTGCAAGTGGATTTGGCATTCTGCATTTTTGGAATGGAAATATACTGAAAGTTCCGACAGGTCTCAAAGAAAGAATTACATTGATATCGTATCCATGGACTTACTCAGCTTCAATATCATACTGCGTGTGTTTTTAGTTAGACCAAAGATATCTATATATGATAGAAGAGAATCTTGTATAACAAAAGGGTCTTTTGGTCTTCTTAGAGCCACTGAGGGTAACAATATGGGCTCCATTACAACATCACAATCCATGCAGGTCTAAACGAACTTCAAACAACCTTGTGCACAGACATTCCAATTCTCTTTACAGAATCAAAATGACACATTTAGGGCTCGTGTAAATGAGCAAATGCAGCATGCGTTCAGGTATAGTCGGCTTGAATTTGAGATTTAGTGACTTCTGAGCTGCTTCATGCTGTATTTGCCTTGTGTGGACTGAACAAGCATTTCCGATGTAAACAAATGCCCACCTTTACAATCCCTTAGCATATTTCCTTCTAAAAGACACACCTGAGCTCCTGTAAGGAAGTGAAGAAATATGAACGGCGGTGGTCCCTAAGCAGTAAAGCACAGAAACACTGGATTGAGATTACAAAAAAAAGTCACCCGTGCAAGGTAAAAACAGCTTTGTGGGCTGAAGGTGGCCTATCCATCTGGTGACATGACTGAACTGCTCAGGGTGTTTGTTCCATGGGATTTTTACTCTCTCTTGCTAGTTTATATAGTCACTGCTTACAAATCTTCTGCTTTCATTGTGTACCAGTCAGCGACAGGACAAGGTCACCCATGGTTCAAGGGCCAAAGCGCCCCCCCTTCCCCACAAACTTTGAACTACTTCAGCATCGTAGGTCCTGCTGAAGCACCCAAGCCTCTTCTGCTGGCCTTGGTGCCAGTTTTGTCTCATTTCAAATCAGAACACATGACATGCACATGCCTCAGCATGACCAAATATATAGAACATGTCTAGTTACACACATATGTATTGACATCTAGACTACGACAAATGTATTCTGTACTTCATAGGGATTTCTGTGTACAGCATGATATAACAGTGTAGGCATCTGCCACAAAGCAGTTCATGGTTATGTGACTAGGACGGGTTTGACCAAGGACTGGCTTAGCACTGTGTATGATCCATACATACTTATATACTGTTGCTATGACGTTAGATACTGGAGGTTTTAGGCAGTGCGCTATTTAACTTTTATACACACAATTTTCCATGTTGCATGTATAATTAAAGACACATTCATTATCTGAGGTGTACTTTACAATATGCAAACTCTAAATTATTTTCTTAAATTCTCAGCATACATTCTTTTCTGAACATCTGTCAGATGGACAGAAATAAAATAGTTTTGCGTAAGAAATGTACTGAAACAGACGCTGCATTTAAAACAATGCAGAGAGACGTGATGCTTATGTCAAAGTAATAAAAACTGGAGCGATTGTCCTATCTAATACCCGTTTTACCCCATGGTTAGGCTACTCGTGACACTTGAGACATTGGTATAAATGAAAAGGCTACATCTCCAAGTGCTCAACTCAGCAGCCACAGGCCTTGAACACTTGGTATCGGTGGAGAAAGTCTCTTTCCATCAGGACCTGGTGCTGTCACTGCTTTATGCCAACATTACAAACATACTGTAATGGCTTGGGTCCCAATTTGGGTGCACTTATAAAATGACATTGAGTAGTGCCAAATGCATCACCAAACGTGAATAACTTTCTGGGGTGCAAGTGGCATATACTGAACACAGGTACAATCTGTCGGAGGAGTCATTATCCATCGCTAACTTTACATGGAGCTCATAATGTTTACTGCCTATGTTGGAAGCTCATGTGGAATTCTTAAATAACAATACAACCAGTGGTTCAAGAGTCCATAATCAAGTAATCCTCCAGGCATCAGTAAGATTGTGTGATTTCAGGGATGTATCTTAAAGTCCAGTGCACCCTGATGCTGTAGACTCAAATTAGCACAATGTATCAATGTACACAATCAATGTACATGTCTACGGTACATGCAATTTGCAAGCAATCATTTTCTTTTATGCTTTCATGTAGTAAGCCATAGCAACCAGATAATCCATTTTACATTGGTCTGGCTTCAGCAGAGTGCACCATTAGTGGTTGCCATGGGTCACTGCATGTAAGAATTACATAGAACAAGAACTCTTTACTGGTTAGGTATAGGCCAGCACATTCCAGTGTATGCAATTCCCCCCTTTACTAAGAGTCGTGTGCATGCCAAGGTATGCACTTCTGCTCTGAGCTTTGCTGTGTGTGTGTATGTATGTATGTATGTATGTATGTATGTATGTATGTATTACAGCCGGACGAAGTATGTGCAGGCTGTGTGCGCTAACAAGTGGCTACAACATCAAACTGCAGGAAGAAGATTCCCTCTATTTACCTATGTTCATAGGGGCCCCTTGTCTTTCTCTTAAATAATTAGATTATATGGTAGTTCTGCTCAATTGCTGAGCTGTAAATTCTACCTCACCTGCAGTCAAGGAGGCTTACAAGTTACAGATATGTAACAATGTCCATATACTGTTAGAATTTCATCCAATTGACAGAAATCGTCTGAGATTCTTACAGTGGATGGTTCTGCCAGCTTGAAAAAAGTTGATCATTCAGTCGACTTTTGCTGAAGGAGTCAGGATGAACATTTTCAACTGAACAGAGAATTTAGCCAACCAGCTGAAGTTGCTGTTCATGTATTCTGACAGCTGGCACCCATCACTGCCCAATAGCCGGAAATGTTTCAATCCACCTTGTTTAGTGTGGATGGAGGAATGTCTTAGATTTTTCTTTAGTGTATGGCCAACTTAAATCCTTGAGACCAGGCTGTGCAAATAAACAATTTGTTAGGGCCCAGCTACAGTGGTGTTAGTGACCTGTGACTGGTTGGCTGCTGCATGGGTCCTGTCAGCACATATCCTCTGTAGTCCATACAGCCTTGCCATTTGAATAATTCAAGGCACTAACCCCCGAAGTAGCCAGCCTAAGGCACATTTAAATATTATATTATTCTGAGAATGACGTTTCAAAGAGTATACTAGAAATATCACATCTCTTTTTTTTTTTTTCTTTCAGTGGCTGCTCAAACAACATCATGGCTGGACTTCTATGCCCTGCCAACAAATAAATCTAATATAGTGAGGAAGTGCTACACAGTTTTTGTATCATACAGCGCCTGATAATACATAAGCGGCTATATTAGATAGACATACTAAGGACATCATAGTGCTGTAGCTCTCTGTTGTGTTGCAAACAGTAACAAAACTGATATACTGATGATGGGACAGTCCCAGGAACAAGCCAATGGTTGGAAAGTCCTGGTCATTACCACCTACATGTAACATGGAAGAATGTCACCACTCCATGCATATCATTGGATAGGAGTAGTACACTTATAAGTAACTACCTTTTGTAAACGGTAACAGGAAAACAAGCTGATATATTGCTCACAACTTAACCCTTCACTGCCTCGAAGGCCAGCCCAGGCCTAGTATGCAGGAGAAAGAAGGGCCCTTTAACAGGCCTAATACAATAACACCCAAAGGGGATGTACACTTTCACTCATCCCTGCAACATAATAATAAAACAGAAACAGGTTAAACTCTTTGCTTGTTTGCATGTGTTAAGGCTTTCGTGACTGTAGAAAAGTAAACGTGTCAGTTCAACATGTACAGCACACTACCGCATTGTCATAGAGGTGTGTAAGGATTGTCTATTGCCCGTATGTGGCCCCTCGAGGAAGAATCCATTTCATAGTCAGATTCCCTCTGGCTGCTTGTTTGGGCCCTGCTGGACTCGCTCAGCAAAAAGTTCCGGGCCAGTTCTTCTGGAGGGGGGACCAAGTGGAAAATCTGTTCAGAGTAGGAGCTGGGATGAAGGTCATCTGCGAAGGGATGTTGCCCCAGGTTGGCCTGTGGGAAATGTGGTATGGTATGCTCTGAACTTAACCTCTGGATTGGCAAAGGGAACAGTAATGTGCTAACTGTGGGGTTCTGATCTGTGGGAAGAAAATACGAAAGGGTTAACTAGCAAGCATTGATTGGCTCAGCTGTCTTTTATGAAAATAAAAGTTTGTGGAAACCACTTTCCAATTTAATTAGACCCTGTTTAACATGTCAATGTGCAGCTAGGGAAGAAAGCTTTGTTTTTCTATATTAGGTCATTCGAGGTAATGCAGCTACACCACAAATAGGAAGAAAGTATTTCCAAGCAATACATTGTGACAACGTATCCAGGAAATAGTACAGAATATTGCGGCACAATTATAAAGAGGGGGTAAATATAGACACATTGGTGTGCCCTAAATTTTTGGCATGGTCAAAAAGTATCCTGGCAACAGGTGGAGAAAGTGAATGCAGAGTCAAATGTGGTGAAAGTGGACTTAAAGTGACACTAAAGTCAGGAGTTAAATATGAAAAAAATACATTCACGTACCTTAACTATTAACAAACATGTATCTTATGTGTGTATCACTCAGCTGTAGATCCTTAAATCATCTCTGAATTGGTGCTGACACTGTCCTTCCTTCTGGAGGGGGGCTACTTTTGTTCCTTATGGTCCATGTGTGTGTTGTAAAGTAGCTCCAAGATCACTCCTGTGATGGACTAGAATCTTAATAAAAATTTGTAAACGATTTGTAGTCCATTGTTAGGATCCAGAGCGCCTCCAGGTGGCGCTGGAGCTAAGCCCTGCTGTTCCTGCGCTCACCTGCAGGTGTCCCCAGGCAGCCAGGAACTGTTAGGTACCAGACCACCACTGGGTGGTGCTGGAACCTGCAGCTCCAGTGCTCACCTGCAGGTGTCTCCCAGCTGCCGTCACTTAGCCATCACTTGCCGCTTCCTGGAAGGGTATTTAAACCCTCCCTGCAGTCAGGACGATGGCTCAGTATTGTTTCCTGTGAGTCCTGTTACCAGTCCTGAACCTTGAAGCATGTTTGCAGTCCTGTTTCCTGTGTATCCCAAGTCCTGTCACCTGATTATAGGCCTAAGTCCTGATACCTGCTTGTAGTCCTGTTATTGTTACCTGTATTAAGCTATTTGCTCCTGTTATATGTTGTAGGTGTCGGTGGTTATATTTAGTTGGTGTCACGTTAATTATTCATGTTTGCTTTTGGGTGTTTTATTTGTTTGTGATGTTTACAGTAAACTGGATATAACACGTTTGCCTTGTCCAGTGTGGTCATACGTGTTTGGTCTTCCCGTGTAGGTACCTGCATGCGGTGCGGGGACACCTGTGCACGGTACCGTGTCACCATCATGGAGTGAGCTTGGAGCGGTTGTTACTTTACAACATACACCGGGACCATGGGGAACAAAAGTAGCCACCCTCCAGAAGGAAGGACAGTGTCAGCACCAATTCAGAGATGATTTGGGGATCTACAGCTTAATGATGCACAAATAAGATACATTTTTGTTAATAGTTAACGTACTTGAATGCATTTTTAAGGTTTAACTCCTGAGTTTAATGTCACTTTAAAAGATGGAGTGTTTTCTGTGTGTGCTTATTCTTTGATATATATCCTTTTGTATATGGAAAATATCAACAAAACTTGATTGTACTAAAAGATGGAGTGTGATGTAGTATAACAGATCTCTATAGGGAATCACTGATAAAATAGTGTGCCACAATGTATCTGTATGAACTAACAAAACACGATCTGCTTAAAATGGATGCACCTGTTATGTAATGAACCTTTTCCATTTAATAGGTGGGTCATATTTCATCTGACTCCCGTAATTCGGCTGAAATTTGAGGTGTGAACGGCCCTGCAAGCACTCCCTGGCTCGATATTTTAAAAGTTGATCAAGTCGGGTGGAAAATGATTGAAAATGATTGACACCATAGTCACTGTCCAGCAGAGCCACTGTACTCAGGCAACCACAGTTGCCCTGGCTACTGAATACAATAGCTGGGAATGGAGATTCCTCCATCCACTCTTTGTTTAGTGTCAATAGGGGAATTGCAGGTTGAATGAGAGAAAATCAGGCCGCATATGTCTAGCTTAAGTCATTGACTTCAATGATCTATCACCACTTTACCTTTAGGCCTTGTTCACACCAAGCGCGTTCCAGGAGCAGAGCAGTTACAGACCGGAGCAAAACTGCGTCCAATGTATTCCAATGGTATTTTTAGCTCCAGTTCACATTGCAGTGTTCCGTTCCAGAGCAGGTAAAGAAACGGCAGCATGCCCTATTTTACCTGCTCTGGAACGCACTGAAAGCCCATTTTAAACTTAAATTATTATTTATTTATTTTTTAACCAAAAACGGCCCAGAACGCATCAAAAACGCGGCATAACCCACTGCACTGTGTGCAGAAACTCATGCAGATCTGCTCTGCATTTGGTGTGAACAAGGCCTTAAGGATTCTATCAAATTGCTCCTTTCCCTTCTAATTAGACACATGTTGGTTTCACCCACTAATCTCTCTCCCTGAGCTGCCTGCCCACTCACATGCAGAGATAGTGTACACATTGTAGAGGGCTCATATGCAGTTAGTTACATAAAATCTGTGTCCTGCAGCAGTAGGAACGTTTATATGCTGATTATTAAGGGGCTGAAGGTTGAATTGGATAAATATAAAGTAGAAAAACCCTTGAATGACAAATAATTGTAAATTAATGCCTCCCCTTTGTAAATAACAGACAACAGCACATAGATCTCTCTCCACCTTAATAAGGTCTATGAATCATCCCTTTCTGTTAAGCAGCCAGAAATGAGAACTTGCTTGTAGAGGCATGTGGAAACAATGTGACCATTATACGGGCTGTGGAGTAGTTGGAGTTAGGGGAACAGTATGTACTGTACACAATGTGTTGGGTAAACAATCTAGCTCCAACAACCAAGATGCACTTTTTACCTTGTGAATGAGCAGAGGACACCACGAAACCAGACAACTTCACGTCTCCAGCGGCTCCACTTTCCAGTGGAATTGGATGAAGGCGGAAGTAGTGAAGCATTTCTATGACAGACAAGAAGCGCAGGTGCTGGACCCGGCACTGACCCCTTTCAGTCAGTGTAAGGCGTAAGTGCTGAGAAGGAGAAGAGGAGGTATCGCCATCAGTTACTATTGACATAATCCATGCTTTAAATTAACACTGGGCATGCAAAGTATGTCATCTGCTGCATGCTGCAAAGTGATCAAATGCATGTTGAAGTGTATGTGTAGCAAAAACTTATCTTGTGTGTCCCCGAGTGACACAGACAGGGGTTTAAACCTTTTCCTACTCTATTGAAGACAAAACAATTGACTATATGTAGACTTTAAATTACTGTAATGATATTTTTAACCTCCAGCATCATGAAAACTTTTCTGATTGGTTAATAACCAAACAATTTACTTGTAAATTAAAACCTGCTTATATAGTTTGTTAGGAAGGCTTCTTTGTTTACCTGACAATATTTTATCACAATAAACCAAAAATTCCCACCTGAATGAATAGGAACATGAAGCAATGCCAATAGTCCATGCTAGTACCAATCAATATCAATTTCTTTTTTGCTCCTTACCTTCACCAATATATAGGTGAGGTACAAAAGAGTTAAAAACCTTTACTTCAACACTAAGCACCCACCATGGATTTTTATTAATGCTATTGGTTTATAAGGGCTATTACAGCAGAACTCCAGCCACACAATAAATATATGTTAAGTGATAGATCTGAAATTCTGTTCAGCCACTTTTCTGGTTCAAACAGCACTGCCACACTATACAGCAAGGATGGTAACACTGCTCTTTACTGCAGCTGTTCTGCTGCTTCCTGTGTCATCTGCCTGCTCACTGGATTATGAGCAAGGATCATCAGATTGCTGAGCTCCTCCTTGTGCGCCCCCTACTCCTGTACGCTTCCTAAAAAAAAACCTCTCCAGCTTCCAAACAGAAAACATGTTATGAGCCATACAGACCTTGGGGTCCTGGTGCATTAAGTTAACACATATACACAAACATGGGTTTTTCATGCATTACATGCGTTGCATTAAGACAGCCCCTTTCAAATGAATTGGCTGTAAAATGCACAAAAACCAAACATGCACCACATGTGGGAATGCAGCACACCACAACACATGGTAGTGCCTTACCTTGAATAGCGTGTGCTGCAAAGCATGTGAATCGGAGCTGTGTGCGGTGCATTGGGGTGTCATTCAAAGTGAATGACACTGCATTGTGCTAATATGCGTAATGTGCATTACCACAATGCAATGTGTTGGAAAGGCATGAATAGGCCCTTAGACCAGTAGCAACATGCAATGTATAACTGCCCGATCTCACTCTCTGCTGCCATATCAATAGTGATGATTACAGCTGGAACACCTCATACTAGACATGTGCGATTCGTTTTGTTCTGAATTGTAATTCAGACGCATTTTCTGAAATTCCTACATTCGGATGCATCCAAATTTCTGAATGACCGCAATGCCGAATTCGTACAAATCCGAATATCCAATAATGAAAATTTCGGATGCATCCGAATTTCTTTCCTGAAGAAAGTTTTATCAGAGGAAAAAAAAAAGCGTGAGGTTTCCACAACAATTGATACCAGACACTTAAGGTGTGATAGGAATGTTAGGGGGGGGGACCTCCAATGTAAAAAGAAAAGCGTGGGGTTCCCCACCAAAAGTCATACCAGACCCTTTAGGTCTGGTAGAAATTTTAAGGGGGACCCGAATGCCAAAAAAAACCCAGTGGGGTCCCCCCTAAAGTTCCAAACCAGAAGGCCCCCCCGGAAAAGCACCTTGTCCCGATGGTGGGTCTCTTCTGGCACAACCCTGGCCCTGTGGTTGTTGGGGGTCTGCGGGCAGGGGGAGCTTATTTGCATTGGGGTATCCCCTTTAATAAAGGGGGCAGATGCTGCCCCCCCTTGTGAATGAGTAAGGGGTACTTGTACCCTACTCATTCACTAAAGGGTTAAAATGTAAATAAACACACTACACTTTTAGAAAAAATCCTTTAATTGAAAAACATTCTTATATATAGTGAAAGACCTCAGGTCACATAATCCCAGCCCTCAGGCCTGTGCAGAACCAGACAGCATTTTCCATCTTCTAGTAGCTGTTGGGTTTCACATCAGGCTATAGAGTTTAAAATCCTGCATGTACCCCTGTACCAAATCTGGGATAAAGTGTGAAGGCCTAAACGCATCCTTGCACCAAGCAATGGTCAATGTGCCTGACTATGTGCATCGATGCACAATCCACTAACTAGAAGGCCATTTGGAGACAGTTTTATGAAGAAGGTCATACTTAACAAAAAGACCATTGAAAAAATCTGCCACATTACCTTTGCTCTGCCTTGGAAATTAAATGTAAGGACATATTCTCCCCTTCGCGTTTCACTTTGCCGTAGGAGGAACACCCCATGACCTTCATATCCCTGAGCTTGAACAAGTTGAGCTGCTTTGACTCGAGAGATGGGCCCATGAAACCATGGATAGGATGCCAAGAAATGGTCAGTTTTATGACAACACTGTTCTGAAGGCACAAAGACAGCAGCACCTACGGATCATATGAGACCAGGAGCCAATTATACAAGTTTTACATGCATAACATTGTAAAGTACAGTCATATTTATTTATATTAACACACTGTAATAAAATAGACTAAATCTACTGTACATTTAGCCGACTAAAATCTTACGATATTCAGTCGACTAAAACTAAAACAATTCAGGTGTCTAAAATATGAGTAAAACGAAATAGAAATTTGCTGTCTAAATGAACACTGCTCTCATGGCAGGTTTCCTGTTTATATTACTTTATTTATTGGACCCAACCAAGTAACTTAGCTTTGCAGTTTATATACTGGTATGTACGCCTGTAGTACATATATATGTGAGTACTGCGCCTCAACATAGAATCAAAATGTTCACAAGAGTAAAAATGATATTATAAAGTTATATATCATACACCGATGATGAAATAGTGGATGTAAACGTTAAAATGTTGTACTGCTATCATGACTCCGTTTAGGAGATTTCCCCTTATTTCCAGTCCTGATGCCAATATTGTCACCAGAACAGGTTGCGAGGGGAAATTGGCAACACTGACACAGATAACAATAAAATGACTTTTATCAGGAGAGTAGCAGAAGGATAGAACTCCTGTCAATCAAAAGAAGTTTGGGAAGGAGATACAGGTTAAGTAAACTGAATATTTTAGAGACTGAAGTGACACAGAAGATAAAAAGTTGGCAAACATCCCAAGAAAAGCTATAAATCTGTTCAGTATATTTACCCCGCTAAGTACACATGTTAACCAACCTTGGATGATGGTGTCAGTGCTGCCACCACTGAGGGTTTGTGACATGGGGTCTGAGTGTACTGGCAACTGCGTGTCTCCATCTGTTTCCTCTGTCCTGTAACAAGTAGGATGCATTTCAATGAACACTTATCAAAAACCTGGCGTGGCTACATTTTATGAGTCTGCAAGCTGTCAGTCTGAAACTTCATGTGAGTTTGCACATGGTATACCCTAGTCTGACCATTATGAGGTGGTTGCACTCCTATTGTTATATTTTATATGTGGTGGGCTCACTCCTATTGTTATTTGTTGTATTATTTTACGTAACTGAGAATGCAGAAGGACTACTACTACTGGAGCAGGAGAAGTGAGCCTCCATGGCAGGGAGGAAAAAACACCTTGTGAAGCAGATTTCAACCATATCTCTTATACAAACATTATCCAGTTCATCTGTTGATTACTCAGAAATATTCTTTTGGGGTAAAAAAAAACAAAAACAAACCCCAGCTGCATATGTAACGAGAGACGCAGCTAAGATTTGTGCTGACTAGAAAACTGTGACAGCATGCGATGAACTATATTTGTATATGTAGGAAAGGACTGGGGCTTGGCTACAGCAGTCTCTCCAAGTGCCGGAAGCACACTTGTATTTCATGGAAATTCAAGGAAGGGAGCACAGAACTGGAGGAGGACAAGCTCTGGAAATCACATAGTGATTAATTGCTAACAGAGTTCTTGGTATTTCAATAACAGGAAAAGTCTTTCAGCAAAGCGCTGGAGGCTGTAACATATGCAAAGCCTACAGGTCAACATGTACTTCCTGTGCTTCCTGCTTTAGAAACCATTATTATCACCTATATAGCAAGTTATATTTGTGATGCTTCTGAGCAGCAGGTGCCCTTTTTTCATTCAGGCTGCACAATAATCTATTTGCTTTTTTAACCTCTTCAGAACTGCACAGCTTTATTCAGGTTTTTGTTTTTTTCTTTAAAGCCCATTTGAAGCCTTGGTATTTACTACTGTAAAACAGACAAGGATGCATATACAGTAATAAATATGGTCCTCTTTCTTTTTTTTTTTTTTTATATACCAAGTGCTATGGCAAGGGTTATACCCTGTGGTAGTAGCACGCTGGAGAGTCAGACCTCTGCTCCCACACAAGCAGTCAACTGTCTGACAGTTATCCTGCAAACGAATCCATTTACTAGCGCTGTTCAGGGAGAGTGAGATCCCCTCTCTATACTTTGCTATCTTTCACATTCAATTCTGTCCACCTTCCATCCCTTTTCTAACCGTTCCCCTGACCTTATTCAGCTGTGTTGTATCCTCCAAGATGCTGTCTACTCTCCCCCCTAATCCACCATTAGCTCCCGTTCCTGCCACACACGCCTTTACTTCAGTTTATGTGTTTGAGCTCTTGGCAATCACTCGAGCATTAATGCACTTAATCTAAATGGTAACTTGCCTCCTCCCCTATACTATTCCGCACCAATCCACATTGTACTTTATGTTTTAAACTTCACATGACTCCATTCTTCATACCTATTCTTTAAAATGTTTGTTATATGTCCATGCTGAACAATTTCTAGACCTAATTATTCCCACAAGCTGCCTGCCTATACTTTAAGGTCTCGTTCACACTTAGGCGTATTGCATATGTGCGTCTGCCGCGCGTTTTTACCGCGATTCGCGGTAAAATAAAAGTCGCGCGACCGTCGCGCGTTTCCGAAGGCTACTTGGCTGTATCCCAATGGAAACGCGCAACAAAACGGCCCAAAGTAGTACCTGTACCTTTTTAGACGTGGGCCGTTTTGTAGCGCGTTAGGGACAGGCGTAAATACGCCAAGGTGGGAACGAGACCATTGAATACAATGGGATTTATATTTTTGAGCGTTTTGTAGAGCGTTCGTCCAGCGTAGAACGCGCTACAAAACGTTCAGGTGTGAACGAGGGCTTACAGATCCCCTACCACAGATGGTGACAGATATTCTGGAATGAAAGCATCCTATCAATTTCTCCCAATGTGAATGTGCAAAGTAGGAAATAATGTGAAAAATGACTCATCACACCATTCTAATTTATTTCCATTACGCGGGGTCCAGGTTTGCTGCTCTTAAACAAAGTTACACATCACTGTGTGTGGTTTATTAATCCTTGTTGGGCAGCTTCAACTAGCAATCGCTGTTCCTTTTTGCCAAGCAATTATTCCCTATTTGGCATATGCCCTTTTTTCGCCTCATGTTAGCATACTTGTGGGTCTACGTCCCTTAAACTGCCAGGACACTCCTAGGAATACTTCCTGAACACTCCCTTCTTTTCTCTATCTATTCTCCAGATAGCACCCAGAATAGGTGTGTGGTATTAGTGTTAGTTTCAAGATTCCTTGATAAAGGTAAAAGCTTCCTGATGGAAATGCCCTGGAGTGCTGAAGCTTACATTTCTTGGTATAAAGAACTGCTTTTTTTCTTTGAGCAGAGAATTTATATTTTGGATTGTGGACTATATGATATCTGTTATATAGATAAGAGGGGTCTCCATAGCCTTATGACACATCAGAAAGGAAGGAGTCTGCCGTAAGGGGAACTGGAATCTTATCATTTGGATTTTACTATTATCCATCCTTTTGTGTCAGCCACTATTGGTTGAGAAGAGGAGGCTGAAGATCTGCCTCTAAAACAGAGAAAATATTTACCTTCCCTAAGAAGGAGTTACCTTCCTTTCCACTAATCTTTGAGGTCAAGGAGTTACATAGTATTTGAGGTTGAATAAAGACACAGGTCCATCAAGTCCAACCTATTGTGTGTGTGTGTGTGTGTGTAAAGATCCCCGAGTCATCTTGTTTTTAGGAGTACTTGTACCCCTGTATATTACCGTTTCTCAGGAAATCGTCCAAAAGCTTCTTGAACGATTCCACACTATTAGCTGAAATCACTGCTTGTGGCAACGAGTTCCAGACCCTAACCGCGCGAACTGAGAAGAATCCCCTTCGCCCCTTGTGTTTGAATTTTTTTTCTACCAGTTTCAGGTGGTGGCCTCTAGTCTTTGTTACGGAATTAATCGTAAAGAGTTTGTTGCTAAAGTTGCTATGACTATGGAACATTTTGTACATGAAAATCATGCCCCCCCTTAATCTCCTTAGTTCCAGCGCGAACATATTTAAATTTAGTAACCGCGTCTCATAGCTCTGGTCCTCCATCCCTTTGATGAGTTTGGTCGCCCTTCGCTGGACTTTCTCCAGTTCCAGGACATCCCCTCTGTGTACCGGTGCCCAAAACTGTACCGCATACTCCAGGTGAGGCCGAACCAGTGATGTGTAAAGTGGCAAAATTATAGACTTATCCCTGCAAAACATTCCCTTCTTGATGCAGGACAGGACTCTACTAGCTTTGCTTACCGCAACCTGGCACTGTAATCTATTATTGAGTTTATGGTCTACAGTGACCCCCAAATCTTTCTCCATTTCAGACTTCCCTAGCGGCATACCCATTATTGTATATCCCATTTGCGTGTTTTTTGTCCCAAAGTGCATAACTTTGCATTTATCAACATTAAACCTCATCTGCCATAAAGTTGCCCACTCCCCTATTTTATCCAGGTCCTCTTGTAAAGTTATACTATCTTGGTTTGTTTCTATTACCCTCCCAATTTTGGTATCATCAGCAAACACTGAGATATCGCTGTTTACTCCGTCCCCGATGTCGTTAATAAACAGGTTGAAAAGCATGGGTCCCAGCACAGAACCCTGAGGCACACCGCTAATAACACTAGCCCAGTCTGAAAGGGCGCCATTTATTGATACTCTCTGTACCCGTTCCTTTAGCCAGTTCTCTATCCATGTACACACCCTTCCATCTATACCCATAGCTGTTAGCTTGTGAAGTAAGCGTTTATGAGGTACCGTATCAAAAGCCTTAGCGAAATCCAAATATACCACATCCACAGACCTCCCTCCATCCAGATCTCTACTTACCCCCTCGTAAAAAGTCAGTAGGTTAGTCTGACAGGAACGGTCTTTCCCAAACCCATGCTGATTATCACTAACTATACCATTAGCCTGAACAAATTCTACTAAATAGTCCTTAATCATTCCCTCTAGCAGTTTGCACACTACCGATGTAAGACTAACTGGCCTGTAATTCCCAGGTTGGCATTTTGCCCCCTTTTTGAAAATTGGAACTACCGTAGCCCTCCGCCAGTCACATGGAACTCTACCAGTCATTAGAGAGTCCTTAAAAATGAGGAATAACGGTCTTGTTATAACCTGGCTTAGTTCCTTAAGTATCTTGGGGTGTAGATTATCCGGTCCCAATGCTTTATTTGCATTAAGTAGACTAAGTCTTTGTTGTATCCCGGGTTCTGTCAACCACTTGGCTGTGTTTTGTGATGAGAGTTGTTGGAAGAAGAATGAAGAAGGCCTGATAGAAAGATTTTCCAAGCTGTAACCCTTTTGTGCGGTGGATTAGGAGTGTTGGGATTCAGCTCTGAAGGTTGATGCAGCCTTAGGCTGGGTTCACACCTAGGGGTTTTGAATATGCGCGTTTGTCACGAAACGCGCGTTTTTACCGCGATTCGCAGTAAAAAAACGCGCAACAAACGCGCGTTTCCGAGGGCTACTTGGCTGTATCCCAATGGAAACGCGTGACAAAAACGCCCCAAAGAAGCTCCTGTACTTCTTTGGGCGTAGGGCGTTTTGTAGCGCGTTCAAACGGCCTGTAATACGCCCAGGTGTGAACCATACCCATAGGAAATAATGGGATTTCGGTGTTTGAGCGTTTTGCAGAGCGTTCGAACGCGCTACAAAACGCCCAGATTTGAACCAGGCCTAACAGAGAATAGCCAGGCATATTATATTCTTTTAATGACTCTGTCACTTTCAAGGACCTTATGGATAGGCGCTGCAATTCTGGTCCTAACAAGTTTATACATCTGCAGAAGCAGCTTTCAGACCAGCGATAGCTCTGACCTCTCTATCCAAAGCACTCAATACATGGACCTTTAACGTAGAAGCTGCTCTGAAGTCAGGTTTTCTAAGAGACTCTATCATCAATCATCATCATATTAAAGATAGCCTTTGACTTTGTGGCAGAAGCATCAGTGGACTTGGTCTGCCTCAACGTGAGGATCATGCCCTGTTCAGTAACAGATCATTAAGTGCTCTGACTGAAAAATTGGTTTGCTTTAAAGCAAGCCCTATGTTCAGTCCATTTGCCGGAAAAGTGCTGCTTGTTCAAACATTGGAAGATGACATTAGGAGGGTCACTGGGGGCAAGTCAGGCCTCATTCCACAGGTTAGCAATAGGAGGCAGCACTCCTTTCACTCCTCCTGAGGACAATGAACTGGGTGGCTTATCATTCACCAGAAGTGTTGCCTGGAGCCAGCTCAGTGTCTGGAGCTGGCATGGTATTCAATTCCCTTCAAACCAAAATCTTTCTGCCATCTCGGAAGTTGCGGGAGATTGTATGAAGGTCAAGGAAGTTCAGGGAGGCTGGAACAGTGACAGGAAGGGACTGCCCTCAGCTATTCCAGCAGTGCAGAGGTCCTTTTACCAGATGATCTTTCCCCCAAAGTCATCAGGAATAGTCTTTATTGGTGGATGGTTCCATGAAACCTGAGCCAGGGTGGACCCTCCAGCCCCACAGACGGAATCACGATTTTTTGGGTCATCATGACTAGGGGAGATGGTGCGGTACAATTCCAAGACAGCCAAATCTTGTCCCATCATCCAAGGTTGATGCATCAAACTGGAGAACCAGACCATATGTGGCCTAACAGAGGGGCACAAAAAGTATTACTTTTCTGAATCTTGGTCTTGTTTGTGTGGGCTCAATGCCATCTGGAAAATCTGACGGCCTCTTATCTTCCGAAGGTGCAGCATACCCTGGTCAACAGTCTCAACTTTCGGTACGGTACTACAGCAGCAAGTGGACCTTGAAACTCAAGTCTCACAAATATTTATCAGAGATCTCTGGCCTCCGGGGGATCTCAGAAGTGGACCTTCTGACCTCCCTGAAGAATACTAAGCTTCCAGTCTTCCTTTTTTCTCAATATTGTCTGCATGCCAGGGGCTAGGATGCTCTCTCCAGTCCATGGCCCTTCAGATTTGTGTACCTGTATCCTCCTACTCAACTGATTCAACTGAGGTGAGGTGCTTACTGAAGTACTGAAGGATGTGGTCCTGGCAATCACCATCATCCCCTTCTGACCCAATAGACCATTGTTTCCTCTCTTGTATGAAATGAAGACTTGTGCCCCTTATTCTTTGTCTTGTTTCATGACATTATTCACCAGAACATGAGCAGGCTAAGGTTAATGGCCTAAAGTTTGAAGGGGGGTGGGGGGATCATTTATATGCTTCTGAAGGCACAGACTAGGTACAAAAATGTCTGGAATAGATTTTATGAAGAAGGATGTGTAGAGATGGGAGAGCCCAAATATTTTTGGACAAGGGACTTTGTCTGAAGACCTTAAAAAAATCTGGTGTCTGCCTAATAAGCCCTATCAGGGACTTGTTGAGCAGATTAGCCTCTGGCAGTAAAAACTTCCCAGAGCCTCAATAAGGAAAATACTGCCCTTTAAGCTAATCTTCCCGCAGTGGAATCAGCACCAGCCTCTTCTCCCTCCTTTCCAACCTCCTCCTGCACTCTGGCATTTAACCCTGCTGACTTCCTTACAGCGATTGCCTCCTCCTTCCTCTCAGAAATACTGCACATGCATATTCTAGTGAAGAACCATGTTGCCAGCAGTTTCCAGACAAGGTCATCATTAGGCCTTTTCTGGCTTACCTTTCTAAAGTGATTTTGGAATTCCACTTCATTTGGGTGGTGCTATCTTTTGCACCAGTCCCCTTCCTCTGATTCATTTTCCCTGGAGACAGTAGACTTGGTGTGCCTAATCTCTAAATATATCTAACATGAACTAAGGACTTTAGAAAGTTGGACAGGCTTTTAATCCTGCTTAAAGAAGGGTGATCCAGCTTAATTAAGAATTATCTTTATCTACGTTTGCAAAGATCTTGGCAGATGTGGTGTACAAACCGCCCAGGACATTGATTCGATACTAGAAAGGTGTAGCTCATGTTTCATCTTAGTCTTCTGGGGCTTTGCTCATTTCTTCGGCTTTGTCTCTTGAATACAATTTTGGGCAGCAATATTCTGTGTTCTTTCTTTCCTATCTGGTTTTTGCTATTCAGATCAACATGATTGTTATTCAGATTGACATGAGGTAAGCCAGAAATTGCCCATTGCAGGGCTAGTCATGCAATATTTTGGGTCTGGGAGAAATGTGTTAGTCTGAGGGTTGTCCTGGCCAGTCAAGGGACAGAGTTGACCCACACGTATGCTGACATAAAGAGAGCCAGAAAAGTATGTCAACATACTTGTAAAGTTTCAGATTACCCTCCTATACTGTATCCTCTTAGAAATTCTGCTAGTTGCTTCAAATTGCAGTAAAAAACTCAGATATCAAGGTGATAACAGACTACTTTTTTTGGGCACTCATACTGCTACATGGCAATTAACTATCATAACCTAAATTTGCAGTTATGCTTGTAATTGGGATTTAGTTTTATGTACAGTGCACATCTCAATATGTTTTTAGATAATATTTGCAACCACCACAAGGGTCACCAGTTGTACCGGTAGCTGCTAGCTAGCTCCATTGTATGAGCAACATCAGCGCAATTGTTAGGAGTTACTGATGCGTGTTATTACACCATCATGTAATAATAAAGTTGTTGGTTTTTTTTAATGGCTTTGATATTAATATGATTTAAATAAATCTAGAACTGAATGCACCATGAAATGAGACAGACTTTAAAATGCTATAACATTGTAAATAAAATAGTTGTAGTCATTCCCAAATTCACGTGAATGCATCTATACAAAGAATTACTGTTACTCTGTTAAAAAAAAGAAGACTGCCTACCCACGATTCATGCATTTTCTGATTTCTGATGTCCACAAATTTAGCTGCTGGTCATCTGCAACTTCAAAAATAACTTCAGTGGCACTATCCTGAAAGATAGGATAAACAGAAATAAAGAAAATTCTTAGAAAACATTCTAATTCTAGATGTAACAAAGGATTTCTTTAAAGAGAACTTACCCACATCTAAAAAAGCTATTTCTGTCTGTCTGTGAGAACCAATTCCTTTATGTAATGTCATTATTCATCATTAGGGTTTTTATATAAATCTAATCTTAAAGCCACACGTGTATCTTTTTACTCAGAAGAGCTATGTCATGTCAGCAATTATGTAGTACAGATTTGTAACACCTACAAAATCTCTATTATTAGCATTTTTGTTGTTAAGAAATAGAAATTGTAGTCAATGAAAAGCCTACATCACAACAATTACAGGCATCTGTAGCTCTATCACTGAACAACTGATTTCCAGTAACAGTTGGTATTTACCACAGAGTTACCAGCTTCATTAAAATTATACTTAGGAGTTAAATCTTAAAAATACATTCAAGTACCTTACCTATTAAAGGAGAACTATGGGGTCAGTGTTTTTCCCCATAGTTCTCCTTAGGGTAACGGGAGGACACAAACTAGCGTCCTCCCGTCACCCTAAGCTCAGTATACCGCGAGCTACAGCTCGCGGTATACTGAGACGCCGCAGCCGGAGCGTATCCCGACGTAGATGACGGGATCGGCCCAGCTGCGTGAGTGACAGCTGGCTCTGCCTATCTAGAGGCAGAGCCAGCTGTACCCGCCCCATCCCCCGTCCGTTCCGCCAGATCAGAGCGGGGAGAGGGGAATCCAGCCCTCCCCCTGTCACGGCAGAGAGCCGTGACAGGATCGAGAGGTGAGCGAACCTGGTATGTGTTCGCTCACTTCCCGATCTACTGAGCCGACCTGTGACAGTATCATTGTCACAGGTCGGCTAGAACTATGAGGTGAGTGGAAATCACTAATCTCATAGTTCTCCTTTAACAAAAATGTATCTTATTTGTGTATCACTCGGCCTTAGATCCTCAAATCATCTCTGAATTGGTGCTTGTACTGTCCTACTTTTGTTCACCATGGTCCCTGTGTGTGTTGTAAAGTAGTCAGCGCTCCAAGCTCACTCCTGTGATGGACTACAAGTTCAATACAAATTGGTAAACTAAACATGAGATTGTAATCCATCACAGGAGCGAGCTTGGAGCGGTGGCTACTTTACAACACACACGGACCATGGGGAACAAAAGTAGCCACCCTCCAGAAGGAAGGGCAGTGTCAGCAGCAATAAAGAGATGATTTGAGGATCTACAGCTGAGTGATACACAAAAAAGGATACATTTGAGTTAATAGTTAAGTGTCACTTTAAGTACTCATCTTATCCAATACAGCTATGGATAACTATAGTATACCAGCCATGTGTAGTTGCAAAGACACCTACTGTATCAGCAATAGCAAGTATAACAAGCTGGCATAAACATCATATGGTGTTGGGGATATCTAAGCAACCAACATACACATGTAAGATCATGGTAGCCTCTGTATTTTGCAGACATCTCTGGCACCATGCTTACTTCAGAGGAAAAAGTTAATGCTGAGGAAAATACAGCCTAGCTGATGTATTAGTGCCCTTAAGAGGAAATAGCCTGACAGGTCTGCTAAGACCCAATGCTGCTTACAGTCATCTAAAAAACAAAAAAGGTAAAAATAATTTCATTATAACTGCCAAATTCAAAAAAAGCTTAAGAAACCTGCAAATGTTTGCACCTTGAACACACACTAAGGACCAATTACCAATGTTGCATTTTCTAAACCAGTCATGTGTTGTATTTTTATATGTATGCTGGGCCACTGACAACCATGAATTATCGGTTTTGCAGAAAATGGAGGTTAAAATATGTAAGCTGCATTCTGCATTGTTTCACATATAATTTTTTACCTTTTGTTTCATGGTTCAATGTTTTTACCCATCATTGTATTGAACTATCAAAAAAACCTCTTTTCAGTTTCTTTAGTAACTGTGGAATATTATCCCCAGGATTTGTTGACACTTAGTGTAATCCATTCTTCTCTATACATATACATCATTCTCTAAGCCACTGGCTTTCAGACATCCCCAAAACATGACTACTTACCAGTTAGCAAGGTGCTCATTTCTTTAAATGTTATCTTTTTTTCACTCCAAACCTACATTTAGTGTTTATATTCAAAGAGTTCCGTTTGATTTAATCAGATCCTAGTTCTTGACTCTAAAATACTTCTGCCTTATGTTTTGGTGCAAAATTCAGACTCTGATTTTTATGATTAAATTACAGGTAAGGTTTTCTCCTGATGACTCCACGAATATTATTTTAGTGCAAACAATGTGGACAATCGACCTGAGCATCAATACTCCCATGATACCTATGCTGGATCTAAGAGGGATTTTGTTTGGCATACCTAACCAACCAGTCTGTAAGCAATTTTATGGGAGACGTTTCTGACTTCAACAGTTCGTAATGACATTCTATAAGTGAAAAGCACAAGGAAGAATTTTGATTTTTTTTTTTTAAAGCCCTCTTTCAAATCTTGACTAACTTGGAGCTTCATGTAAGCACAAGACCCTGAGAGATTCCAATTATTTAAATGATTATGAAAGCTGCTTTTGTTGACATTGCTTACTAAAATGCTACTTGTCTGATTGTCACTGTGATCCAAAGGCTTCAATAGTTTCCAAATCACATACTCATATAAAAGTATGGAGATCAGGTGTTCTGACTTATTTTGACTTTCTGAATGCTGGACCAATGACTTAGGAAGTATTAAAGCCAGAGAAAGCCAGGAAACTAGCACCAGCACTGAGTAATCATTAATGGAAGAGGGAAGGAAACTGTGTTGTGACAAGCTGGGTCTGCTTGGGTCTTCTCCCAGCAGTGGGTGGTCCTGGATGATGGAGGATACAGAAAGCAGCACTGATACAACGACATCAGTGGCACTCTTTGCATCAATGCACTCACAGTCTTTCCTTAGTAGAACTCAGTAGACTGAGTGTACTGTGGTGGACAGCTTCAGAAAGAACATACGTCTTGCAGCCAGAGCTGCTTTTTTTCATCCTCCAGGGAGACATTTTTTTTAAATTTAGCCCAGAGTCAAGCTTTTAATTTAAATGTGTTCATTAATTCTAGTTCTGAATATAAGGAAGAAAACACAGTACATAAAAACACTATATTATTTGAAGTTGAAAATCTATTGCATGTAAGACTGCACATACATAGTCAGCTCCAACAACTAAGAGAAGAAAAAATCATCACAAATCAATAACAGACTAGCTAAGAATATGTTTTATGTGTATACATACAATGGATGTAAGATTGATACGAATAACTGTAAACATATACCAAAAATATATATATACCAAAAATATTCTTTTTTTTGGCATTTAAGGGCCAATCACTCAAATCTGGAGGCCAGCAGCAACATATACTTTTTTTTTATTTATTATTTTACACATGTTTTTTTTCTGAAAAGTTCCTACCTTGAGCATAAATGTGTTAATGTTATCTGGCATCTCCAGGCGGCTGCACTTTCTTATTTCATGGATAGCAGAACATTGAACCCGTAATTTTGGTTTGGAACACTGCAGAGGAGAAAAAGATGTAGGACTATATGACAATGAAGTCTAAAATACAACAAAAACACTTTAAAACTATTAGCTAACGCTCACATTCTAAATCAGGAAACTAGTATGAACACAGATAGAAGTGAAACTGTCATCAGGATGAATAGCTAAGGGACCTTCAATGGTTATGGCCATGGTGCACCCCTTTAACTACATAGTAGTTCCAGGATAGTGCATAACTTGCTAGTTAAATGAGTGTCTTGGAATAGTATATGAGGCCAAGAATGTCAAGGAGAATATCCTGAGGATCCTCAGTTATTTAACTTGCTATCAGCTGTCCTTTAAAATGTTAAGGTATCTAGCTGATGAAAAAATTACAATACTTTGACAGAAGAGCTATAACATTTGTTGCGTAGAAGGCTACAACCTTTTCAGGCTGGCAAGTGGCTGAGGTAAAGCCGATTAAAGTGCCATTTATTAGCATAAGAAAGAAGCCTGTTTTAAGTAGCATATTACTATCCCTACAATGTTAATGTCACATTGGATGTTTTAAATTATTATTATTATTATATATGTCACATTGGATATTTTAAGTTATTATTATTATTATTAT